GGACCAATCCCTGGAGAGGGATATCATGCTTGGGAGGGACAGCACAAGAGAGGAAGACCTTCAATGAGATGGATCGATTGGGATAATGGGAGTAGGTATGTTGGAAACAGTGAAGTCGGCCCAGGATAGAGCAGGGTTTGGGGCTCTTATACATAAGGTAGCTATGAGTCACAAGTGAATTAATGACACATAACAACAACTGTTATTTGGAATAAGCACACAAACGCCAACAATGGTTGCCTTTAGATTGTGGGCTTTGGGCAGAGCTTTATTTATTTATTTCCTTGTTTTTTGTGCATTTATAAGATTAATATAGTAAATATTTTATCGGAACAGAAATCTTAAGAAATTAGCATCATTCACAAAATAGTTTCATTTGCCTTTTCAATCTGTTTTATTGTTTGTTTTTTGAGGATTTTTTGTTTGTTTTTTAAAAATTCTACTAATTTATTTACATAATTTGTATATATTTTTTTCAAGAAAAATTTTTTTCAATTCCCCTCATCCCTCCCAACATCAAATTGTACAATTAATTAATCTCCCCCTCCCCCTGCACATCCTCATCTCTCTGTTTCCACCCTCTTCACCCCTTTTGGATCTTTATACTCATTCTACAATAATGGTTTTATGCAATATTTATTCTTGTTGGACTGAGTTTTTTCACTTAGCATAATTCTCTCTAGTCCCACTCAAGTTAGGTAATAATATACAAAATCCTTGTTCTTCTTGGAATACATCACAGTATTCCATTGTGTGAATGTACCATAATTTCTCAATCCGTTTGTTTGTGGTTGGACCTTTGAGCTGTTTCCATGTTTTTGCAATTGTGAATAATGCTGTTATGAACATAATAAGCAAAACACTTCTGAGAAACAAAAATGAGGTTGGAGGCATAGTGCACAGCACATACTACACAGCAGTAATAACTGAAACAGCATGGTACTGGTATAATGACAGGCACATTGACCAATGAAACAGAATTGAGAACCCAGATATAGACCCAGCTATCTATGGTCAACTGATACTCAAAAAGGAAATCAAAGGTGTCAAATGGGAAAATGATAACCTCTTCAAAAACGGTGCTGACATAACTGGACTTCCACCTGCAGAAAACTGAAACAGGATCCACATCTCACACCATAAACAAAAATCAACTCAAGATGGATCAGAGACCTGGACATAAAGGCCAAAACCATAAAATTCTTAAGAGACAAATTGGGATCAAACTTAGAAGTGCTAGTCCAAGGTATAAAGAGACTGACAAATACAACAACCAGAAATGCACAATATGAAGAGGATAAAATTGATTAATGAGACTGTCTAAAGGTTAAATCCATGTGTGCATCAAAAACGTTTCCCAACAGGGTGAAAAGAAAACCTACAGACTGGGAACAAACATTTGGTAATACCATCTCAGACAGGAATCTTACAGCAAAAGTTTACAGAATACTCCTGGGCCTCCACAAAAAAAAAAAAGATAGCCCAATTACAAAATGGGCAAAAGACATGGAAAGAATTTTCACAGAGGAAGATATTAGAATGGCAAACAGACACATGAAGAAAAGCTCCAAATCACTGGCAATAAGAGAGATGCACATCAAAACCACAGTGAGGTACCATCTCCAGTAACAGTGGCGAAGTTTAACAAAGCAGCAAATAATATATGTTGGAGAGGATGTGGCAAGAAAGGAATTCTTGTACATTGTTGGTGGAATTGTAAACTGGTACAACCATTCTGGAAGGCAATTTGGGGCTTCTTCAAAAAAGCTGAACATAGAAATTCCCTATGACCCAGCTATTCGGCTACTTGGAATATACCCTGAGAAAATAAGAACTGAGGAACAAAGGAAGATTTTTACATCAATCTATATTTTGAACAGAGCATTCGAGACCTGAACTTTATGAGAAGGAATGTGATATCAGGATTGGAAGAAGACTCATTAACAACCTGCATTATGCGGATGACACAACCTTGCTTGCTGAAACTGAGGAGGAATTGAAGAGTTTGTTGCAGAAGATCAAGGACTATATAGTCTTCAGTATGAGTTGAAGCTCAACATCCAGAAGACGAAGATTCTCACTACAGTGCCAATTGGCAGCATCATGATAGGTGGAGAAGAGAGAAGGATTGTCAATAATTTCATCTTGCTTGGCTCCACAATCAACACTCTTGCTGCCAGCAGTCAAGAACTCAAAAGTCAAGTTGCATTAGGGATATCTGCTGTCAGGGACTTCTCCAGCAACAATGATGCCAGTCTGAAGACTAAGGATACCTGATCTAGGCCATGGTCTTTGAAATGACTTGCTATGCACCAGACGGCTGGACAATGACTGAGGATGACAGAAGAAGGATTGATGACTTTGAGTTGTGGTACTGGAGAAGAGTATTGAAGATTCCATGGACTGCCAAGAAAACAAACAGGTCTGTCCTGGTGAGGGTGAAACCAAATTTCTCCTTGGAGGCAAGGATTTTGAATCTCCATCTCCCATACTTTGAGCATGTTATTAGGAGGAACTGGTTCTCCTGGAGGACCAGAAACAAAAATCAGAGCAGGAGTGTCATCCACAAAGTAGTTATTAACTCTGGATAAATCAACTTAAGAAAATTAGGTTTAATTTACACTTTCCAGTACCCTTATAGTCTATATAAATAATATGCATATAGAATACAAATTGTGGGTCATATATATAAAAATAGTATCCTTCAAGTCATGGATCCAAGAGAAGAAGGGAAGGGAACTCAATATTCTCCATTAATTCACCCACTCATTGCTACTGAGTTGGAATCGACTCATAGCTCATCTCCCAGCAGATTTTCAGAGGTTATAAAATGCTTGGGGGAAAGATTGCTACCTTCCTCCCATACAGCTAGTGGGTTCTAATTGCCAGAGATAACCTTGGAGTTAGCAGCTCTATTCCTGATGGACTATGTTATCAGAGCTTTTGTGTCCTCCATTAAAGGAATCATTTATTAAAAAGATAATGCTAGATAACATTTATTGAGGGCTAATAATATGCCAGACACTGATAAATTGTAATATTTGCCTCTATGTTTTATGGAGTAGTAATATTATTAAATATTTTTAAATTGGGAGATAGGAAGTGAAAACTTGAAATTTTCCTCTTATTTTGTTTATTAAGAGATCAAACAAAGATAGGAACCCTGTTAACTCTAAAACCTGTGGTTTTGATTATGACCTGATCTTAATTGTCTCAGTGGCTTTGAGAGGTACCTTAGTATTAATCACTGAGGAAACTCATACTGAAAAAGATTAGGTAAACTCCTTAATGACAAAGAACTAGTATGTAAAGGAAAGGGGATTTCAGCCTACTTTTGCATGAAAGCAGAGTTTTCCTGTTACCAATACTCTCTTTGTTATGAGGATTGTATCACTGGCCCTAAGTAGGGATCTCTGTTACATATGACAAAGCTTATTGTCCTTCCTCTGGGATCCTTAGATTTCTATCTTTTCAACACAGAGATTCCCCATATTTAAAGGCATAAAACACACTTACAGGATGTTACCTCAATTCTTACCTCTTTGATTTGATTGGATGACAAATCTAATTTTTTTAAAGAAGAATTGCCAAGGAAATCAAGTTCTTCACGTCTTAAGGCATAAATTCTATTTTTTGACAATAAAAGTTCTTGGAGATTTTCCAGTTGGAGCTCAGTTCCTAATTTTGTCGATGATAAGCCATTGTGAGCGAGATCTAATTTATTTAAATTCTGCAGGAAAATCATATACATTAGTATTGACAAAAAATAGTTCCACTATTTGAGAAATATTTCAACAGCAAAATAACCCCGCCCTATTAAAATATATAAAACAAATAGTAGGAAAAGCAACTTTTTCATGAGAAAAGTACAATTTTAGCAAGGATATAATTTTTTACTTAAAAAAGAAAAAATATTCTCAGTAAACATTTTTATGATGTTAGTAATATTCACATGATTTATCAAATATAGGTCGTGTATTACATGTTACTCACAAGACAATTGGAAAACATAAACAATATGTTTTGTTACTTTTGACCATGTAAACTTCATAATCAGATAAAAGGTAACAAAAAGCTAAAAAGTATTACAGAATAATATTATGTAATCTGGTGGTGGTGGTGTGCACCCTTGAGTCAGAACTAATAGCTTACCCTCCAGCAGGTTTTCAGAGGTAATGAGTTACCCAGGAGGAGAGTGTTCATTTTTCTCCCATGAGCAGCTTGTGTATTCAAACTGCATGCTTTTGATTGGGCAGCACAACTCCTTACCATTCAGCCACCAGAGTTCCCTATGTCTATAACACAGAATACAATTTTTATTTGTATTTTTTTAAAGTGGAAAAATTTCATCTCTCTTAGGGAAACAGATAAGATACTGAGGTTTCTATGTCCACAGACATGATGCCCACATGGCAATCTAAGAAGCCCTAAGAAAGAAATAGTTTACAACAATTCAGGATCAAAACTTTAAATAAATAAAGCATTTTTATGTTTAATACTTTTGGTCAAGGGATGTTCAATACTTTTCAAGGTCATACAATGACACAATGGAGAGAACACAAAGTCCTTTGGTTTAAGAGAAACAGTAATTGCCTTATATTTAGACATGAATGTACATTTTTCACTGATTCAAAATTCAAGTAACATGACTAGAAGGGATATATATATATATATATATTGATGTTGTTGTAAAGTGTCATCAAGTTGTAGATGACTCAGTGATATTATGAATGAAAAACCTGAATACTTGTGTAACTTTCATCATCTCTCCAAGGTCATAGTTTCTGGAGGCAAGGTTTATCAGAAATGGATGCCACTCCTGCTTCCAAGTTTGTTTTAATTAGGGAGCTCCACCAAACACTGCCCACCATGGGTAACCATTATCACATTTGACACTTCAGTGTCACAGTGTTCAACATCCCAGCAACCAGGAGTTATCTCTGTACAGCAAATGGACAGACCAGTGCTATACCACTTAGAAGAATGTTTAACCAAAACCAATTAAAACCAGGTCTGAGGGCCGCAGATTAAAATCACCCACATTTGGCTTGGTAGCATAATTTTCTATCCATTAGGCCAACAGAGCTCTATGTTGTTGTTGCTGTTGTTATGTGCTGTTGAGTCGGAGATGACTCAGAGTGACCCTAATAGTCATTAAAAAAAAACAATAATGTGGGATACTGGAAAAAGAGAAATCAGAGTAACTCTGGTGGCACAGTAGGTAAAACACTGGCCACTAACCAAAAGCTTAGCAGTTTACACTCACCAACTGTTTTGGGGAAGAAGATGTGGCTGACTGTTTCTGCAAAGATTAAACCCTCAAAACCCCAAACCCACTGACATGGAGTCGGTTACAAATCACAGGAACCCTATAGACAGGATTGACTCATATTTCTTCTGCAGAGCACGGGTGAGTCAGAATTGCTCAACTTTTGGTCAGTAGTCAATGCTTTAACCCCTGAATGATAGGAATTTTAAATGAAGACCAACTTTTAGTTGAATCATTCACTTTATCATTGTGTCAGTTTGCTAGATAAATTGGAAGTCAGTATTTAGAAGTTAGGATTCAGCATTTCTTCAGTACTCTAGATAACTATTATCAGCAGCTTTGAGAGCTTGTTTTTCATATCGCTCAGGGGATATTCTTATTGTGTGGTGATAATCTTTATGTCTTGTGTCTCAGTTCTGCTTCTAATGTTGGGAAGCCAGAACAGAGGTTTTCCTTAAAATTAAACTTTAACTGATTTAGACTATATTTTCTTTGAAAACATGTTTTCGGTTATATTAGTAGTGTGTGTGTATGTATGTGTGTTTTACAAAGGTAAATTATATTTAATATTTTTCACCCTGATATTTAAGTATTCATTCTAAGGCTTTCGAGTGGCTTGAAATGCAATCTGCTTAGCATTCAATGGCATATTTTTCTTCACTAAAGAGGAGCTCTGTGGCCACTTGGCAAGAAACTGCACTACAATCCCAAATGCGGTTCAAGGACACCAGCTGCTCCACAGAAGGATGGGCAGTCTCTTCCCAGGCAATTAACTGCCTCTGAAAACCCTCCAGAAAGTCAACTATGGGTTGATTGCAACTTGATGGTACGCAGCAACAACGATGGAGAGGATTAGAATTCTTTATTTTCATGTATGTATAGTAAGGATAGACCAATTAAAAACATAAGAATTGATAACATTTTTTCATTCTGCATTTTGCAATGTACATTTTTAGCTTACCTTTAGGTTTTTAAAGGGATTATTTTCAATCCTTTGGATTGAATTAGACATTAAATGGAGTTCGATCAATCCCGTACAGAAGATGAAGGTTTTGTCAGAAAGATGGGAGAGTTCATTGTGTTGGAGGTTCAATACCCTTAACAAGGGGAGTTTTTGGCACAATTCTGGCTCCAATTTTGAGATGCTGTTGAAGCCCCCATCCAGGATAATTAGCTGACTATATCTTGTAAAATTAGCAGCTGGTAACCTTCTGAGTTGATTGTGGGTAAGGTTCAACACTGTTATGTTTGTCGGGAGGTCCTCTGGTATCTGAGTCAATTTCAGATGACTGCAGTCAGCTACTTCCTGTCTAACAGCACATTTGTTGGCAAGGACTGTGCACAGCATCCAAAAAGACAACAGTTCCCAAAAGAAGTCAATCTGATACGGCAGACTTTGTTTCATGATTTTGACCTAGAAAAGAAATACACACACAAAATAATAGATAATATCAATAACACATGCTTTCGTAGTACATTGTTATATTCCTTGTTAAATATGTTAAAAAATGAGTTGGAGATGCTTCCTCCTTTACTCGTAATTTTTGTTATGAAAGTACTTAATTAAACAGAAAAATTCAAACATTATAAACAAGATTTAATATAGAAACTCTTCCTTAACCTTAGCTCCAATGCTGTTTCAATTACCTAAAGTTACCTCTCCTGACAGTTCTTATTTTAAATTCTAATGACAGTTTTCACAATTTAAAACAATATACTTGCACTTCTACTTCTTCATTCCTTGAATTTGAAGCTAATATCCCTGGCATAAGGATAAGCTGCTTCATTATACTATTATTACCTTCCTAACTTTTTGAGTATGACTACTATCATGCTCAAGCCCATTATTGTAATCATCGTGTGTAGTTAAAAAACAAAAAGAAAAAGCAAATGTAGAAGCTGAACTTGACCAATATTAACTCCACAAAGAGGAACTTTCCCTCTTAAAAACAACCACAGTACCAAACAAATAGCTGCAAGGTCAGACATGGCTCGTGCACTGACTTGTAATAATTATTGGGTCCAAGGTTCATTGCAAATTGACTCACAGACTTGACTTTCCTCACAGTTGTGGGATTTATGAAGGAAATAGGTTAAGAGCGATGGAGAGGCAAAGGATATTACATAGTGAAAGTCCAAATCTTAGTGAACAGCAGTCCCAAGCCAGGTTAGTAGCAAGACATAATTCCTCAGTTCAGACAGCTTTTAATAAGTGAAAGTTCATGTTCAGCCCAATTACACAAATGTAAGATGCCTCTGGTCTCCTCACTTGTCCAGCAAGTTTTGTCTCATGGCAGTCACAAGTCAACTCTTCCTTCAATAGTGCAGCAGGCAAAATTTTTAACCCTAGCTCTGTCTCCACAGCTCCTTCATGCTATGCCTCAGCTTGCTAGAGCACAATAATTATGTTAACTCTCTTATGTTGGCCTTGCACATGTTGATGATGTTGAAAGCACTGATCAATAAGTGAACCATGTGTCTGTAGTTGAGGCAGTTGGAGACCATACTTCCAGAAAGAGCTAAGGCAATGGACACAAAATCCGTTTTCAATAGTCCTAATGCCACTCTGTGTTGATTGTTCTTGTTGAAGGTCTTCCTCTCTTTGATCCCGTACTCTTTCCAGAATGATGCCTTTTTTCCAAGGACTGAAACCTGAAAAATTGCTCAAAGTATGTGAGACTACGTTTCACCAGCTAGCTTCTAAGGAGCTCCTTGGTTGCACTTCATCCAAGACAGACTTTTCTTTGGTCATCTTTCATTTTCATTGATCTATTGCTGCAAGAAGGGAGCTTTGGTGGCCTAGTGGCAAGAATTTGTGCTGTAATCCCAGAGGCACACAGTTCAAGGACACCCACTACTCTGTAAGAGAAGAATGGGCAATCTCCTCCCATATGTTTAACTCATCTCTGAAAACCCACCAGAGGGTCAGGTATGGGTCAGCTCTGACTCTACGGTACACAACAACAAGAACAATAACATTGCTGCATGTATAATTGTAAAGACTACATCCAAAATTCCATCTACATTTGTTATAGTTATGTGCTATCAAGTCTCCCATGACTCATAGCAACCCTATGTAGAATAATTTTGAACCTTGCCTTATCCTCGGCAGTCTCATTGTCTCTACTGTACCTATCCCAATTACCCCATTTACCAACTCAACTCATCTCATTTGGAGTCTTCTTTCCTGCACTGTCTTTTCACCCTTCCAAGAATGATGTCCTTCTCTAAGGACTGGTTTTTGCTGGCTATATGCTCAGAGTATGTATGATAGAGCTTAAAAATCCTTGCCTCCAATGAGAAACTTGGTTTCACCCTCTCTAAGACAGACATATTTGCTCTCTAGTGGTCCGTGATATGTTTAATACTCTTCTCCAGTACCACAACTCCAAGGCATCAATAATTCTTCTGTCATCCTTAGTCATCCCATTCTCTGATGCATAGCAAGTAATTGTGAAGATCATGGCCTGGATCAGTTGCAATTTAATCTTTAGGCTGACCTCATTGCTCTTTGGCATTTTGGTGAGGTCGCTGAGAGCAGACTTCCTCAATGCAATTTATCTTTGGATCTTACGACTTCTAGTGCCGAGAGTGTTGATTGTGGAACCAAGAAAGCTGAAATTGTTAACAGCCTCAGTCTCTTCTCATGCTGCTGCAAATTGGCCCAGTGGTGAGAATCTTTGTCTTCTTGGTATTAAGTCTTAATCCATATTGAACATTATAGTCCTTGACCTTCTCTTCATTTTGTGATACCAGAATACTCATCCCTGCACTCCTCTCCCTACTTCTTCCCTTTTTGCAATTGTTAAAGTCTAAATTTAACATTTCATGACTGCCAAAATTTAAAATGAAATATTTTATCCAAAAAATATGATTAAACCTGGAATGCATGGTCTAGATTAATTTAACTTGGAGAATCTGAATCAGTGAGTAGTATTTGCAATTTAAATGTACATACATTTAGTCTGGTGGCCTCGTGGTAAGAACCTGAGCTGTACTTCCATAGACATTCTGCTTGAATCCACCAGCTACTCCACTGGAGAGGGATGGGCAATCTTCTCCTGTGAGATTAACTACCTCTGAACCCTCTCAAGTGGATCAGATAGGGGTTGGTTCCAACTTGGTGGTAGTCAACAGTAACAATGCATTAACAGAATCAGTAACACTTAGAGAAACACAGTGATTTAAAGAACACAGAGTCTGCATATTTATTCTTCCTTTTCTACTTTGTTGTTGTTGTTTCTGTGTGCCATAGCCAACTCTGCAGTGGGTTTTCAAAGGCAGTAAATTGCAAGAGAGGAGAATGTCCATCCATCTCCCAGGAAACTGCTGGTAGATTCTAATAATTTGGATTAACAGCACAGCTCCTTAAGTTAAGCCACTAGTGCTTTCTTCAGCTCTGTATTCTATGGCAAATTAATTCTTCTCTCAAGTATCTGAGAGTAATTATAGTTTCTCTTCCACAGGTTCTTGTGAGGCTTGAAGAAGGTAAGCCATTTATAGGTTTATAATGACCCGATCCAACAAAAGACCCCCTACCGTTGAATCAGTTCCAGCTCATGGGGCCTCTCCATTGGGTTTCCAAGCCTGTAAATCTTTATAGGAGACTTTCCATCTTTATCCTGCAAAGCGTTTGGCATATTCAAACTGCTGAACCTCTGGTTAGCAGCCCAACACTCAAAGCACCTGGCCCAAGGCAATATTAACAGTTCCTGAAATGGATCAGCACAACAATGTACTGTAAAAAGAGCAAAAATTATTTGGGGGCAGTCATAATTGACCTTTACCAACTCCATAATGGGGAACTGTTTCCAACAACAACATTCACAACACAAAACTGACTCCCATGACCAAATGTGTTGCCCACACTGTCCTACCCCCTTTTTACTCATCCCAATGCAAATCTTAACTGCTCTACTGGGTCCAAAATCCATTTTGAAAGCTCACAAACCATAGAGAATTATATCTGGGAAGTTAAAGGACTATAACTCAGGTTGTGAGCAGATACAATCACTCAGACAGGACAGCTTCCAAAATGTGCTCACAGGTACTTCAGCCTTCAACCTCATGGCTTTAGACAAGTGTTTCAGAGCCCGAAGTTCTGCTCATTACTGCTCCCTTCTAGCCCTAGTATTTAAAAAAAATGCACAAGTTGGGCAAAAAGCTCTTAGTTCTAGTAACATGGGGTAGCAGTCCCAAGGACAATTTCATCTCATGTCAGGTCTCTGATCCTCTGCTGTGATTGTGGCGGCTGCTGCTGTTGCTGTAGGTCTAACTGGCATTAGACTCTCTGATCCAGGAAGGTTTCTTCTTTGCTGGTGGTGAGATTCTCAAAATGTGCTGCTGAGTCATTTCAATTTAACAGCAAGACTAGCTAGAGTGACAAAATGCTCGAAAATTAGGTTTTATTGCCGTTGTGTTAGCCCTGTTGGGCGTGGGTGCGGAATGGTCTCCAGCTACCTTAATTGCAGACACGTGGTCTTGCAAATAATTACCAGCTGTGGGATCATTATAAGAGAGAGAACTTTCCACACTGTGAGGTACCTCAGTAATGGTGGTAGAGAGAGGGTGAGAAAAGACTGTGACATTGTTGTGAAGAAACTGTGGCAAGGTATAGCCAGAGTACCCTGCATTTGTACTACACTTAAAGGTTTTGTTTGCTGGACGATTGCGGAAAACAAAGCTTGCTGCAATTTTGCTAGTGAATTGAACCTGTTCTTTTACTAACTGGGGAACTATGCTTTATTGATCTGACTTGGAACTGAGGAACATGAGTGATATTCTTTGCCTCCCCGACTCCTTAACCTATTTATTTAATAAAACCCGCAACTATGAGTAAAGTCCGCGTGTCAACAACAAATATCAGACCCAAATCATTAGAAGTAAGAAGTACAGGAGCCTGGGGGCAGGGGGCCTGTCTTGTCTGACTGAGCAGCTATGTGTTTGCTGCTATGGATATTATTAATGGATAGAGTTCCCCTTTACGATGCAGGTAGAAGACAAACTTGTCCACCCTTATGTTACATCTGTTCTTTTCAAACCAGCTAATCCCTTTGTGGATAGAAAAACAAGCCTTATTTGCATATTCCTGTCTTTGAGTGTCTAAGGTTTATCATTCAAAATTATCTTTTCCTGGCAAAGGATTAACTCTTTTATGATGAATTAATTACTGCAACAATGAATGAATAAAAATTCAAAATTTCTGTAAATTTCTGTTCATTAAAATTAATAAAATAAAATTTAAAAAAGATGGCAAGAATAGAGGAAGACAATGTGTAAAAACATTGAAATTCAAAGAAATTAATAAATTGTTTAAAAATATTATAAAAAGCTTTCTTAATGAAGTCTATAGTGGCTGGTTTTAGTCCTAGGTCCTTGAGCCACTTTGAGTTGGTTTTTGTGTAT